AATATAATAATAATAAAAAGAGTTTGAAATATTTTGAGACTTACCAAAATGTGACACAGACACAAAGTGAGCAAATTCTGTTGGAAAAATGGCATTGACGGACTTGCTTGATGCAGAGTTGCCACAAACCTTCAATTTATAAAAAAATGCAACATCTACAAAGCGCAATAAGGTGAAGCACAATAAAACGAGGTATCTTACTATTTAGAGCAGTGATTTTCAACCTTTTTCATCTCATGGCATGCATGAACTAATTACTAAAATTCTGCAGCACACCAATATATATATTTTTTGCTAATCTTACAAAAAAATTTGGTATAATTTTGATCCATTCACACCAGACATCTATTGTTGTGGTGACTTGTCATTTTTTCCTCATTGATTTTTAGAGAGAGAGTAGAGGGAGGCAGGGAGCAGGGGAGAGAGAGAAACATCAATGTGAGAGAGACACATCAATTGGTTGCCTCCTGCACGTGCCCCAACCAGGGTTGGGATCAAACATGCAACCTCAGGTATGTGCCCTTGACTGGGAATCAAATCCACCACCCTTTGGTGTGTGGGCCGGTGCTCTAACCACTGAACAACAGCTGTTGTCATTTTTTTAAAAAACAAGTAATCCTTTTTAAAAAAATAATATATTTTTAAAATACATTTTTATTGATTTTAGAGAAGAAGGAAGAGGGAAAGAGAGAGAATCATTGATCGGCTGCCTCCTGTAAGCCCTACTCTGGGATCAAGCTTGCAACCCAGGCATGTGCCTTGACTAGAATCAAACCGAGGACCCTTCAGTCCACAGGCCGATGCCCTCTCCACTGAGCCAAACCAGCTAGGGTGTCAGTGTTTTAATTTCATAATCTAAGAAAGAAGAGGTCAGTGTCCCTGGCTAAAAAGTCAGGTATTGCATGTTTTAAAAATTCTTGTGGCATACCAGTGTGCCTGCTGCGGCACAGTGGTTGAAAATCACTGATTTAGAGTGGAATTTACATTAGGCTTTCTAATGGAATTACATAGGTAATGGTAACTTAGCAGTCAAGTATTTTTCATACTAAGCATAAGAATGTGATTTCACAAGTTTCAGGTTTTGCACTGTTTTCTGCTCTCTGCTTGCAGGGTGGAGTCCCCCCACAGCCACGAGCCGCACATACGTGTGCAGTTCTTGGAAATAAGGGCTATATCTTTGGTGGACGTGTTTTGGTTAGTATGATCTTTTTATGTGTGATGCTTCTTATAAAAACATATCCTCTGAATTTATAGAACAACTGAACATTAAAAAAATCTAGAAATGATAGTGTCCTTCAATAACTTTTATCTTCTGTTCCCAAACAGACCATACATGAATAATCACAGATAAATCACATTTTAATGAGGAGAATCCTTCACTTTAGTGTATTATTAGAAAAGTTTCATTTCTTATCATCTAAATCCTGTTAGTTTAAACTCATTTCTTCCTTTCCCCCTTGACACATTAATTTGATAGCTCTATGTTAACTTTATTAGTGCTAAGCATTGTTTCCCAATATATAAACTTATGATGTTAAGTAAAATAGATATAATCTACTTTTAATAGAAACTATTTTAAAAACAAAATTTTAGCTTATGAAAGATGTAAAACACTGACCAGTTTAACACACTTTTATTTTAGCAAACTAGGATGAATGATTTGCACTATCTAAACTTAGATACCTGGATTTGGTCTGGAAGGTAAGTAGGAAATGTGTTTGTTTTTACCTATAGGCATTTCTGTGTGTGTCTGTATATGTGTGTGCACCATAATCCAAATTGGGGTCTCTAAAACTGAATTATTATATTTTTCTCTTCAGATAATATGTCTAAGCAAAGAATATATAGATTAGAGTTTGTTTTTTAACCCAACTACATAAAACATGAGAATACTAGCAGTTGAAAATTGATTATGTAAAAGTACTGGTTTTATATACTATGTTCTTTAGGACTGGTCAGTAGAAGAAATAAAGGAACAGTTGAATAGGGTCATCACAGGTGAACAGATAATGGAGTGGCTAAAAGTCAGATTTTATTTATGGCTCATAATCTATATTTAGCAATAGAATAAATATGTTTAGCTATCAATTCATCTGTTCATGTAATGAGATGAACGAAGAGCTATATATTATTTCAAAGTATAAATGCTATAAAAAATGAAACCACAAGAGTGTAAAAAAAGCAGATTATCTATAAAATCTTGCATGGAGAAGGCTTTTCTAAAAATGATATAAACTCAAAATTCATAAATTAAAAGATAGGTTGATAAAACTACTTAAGAATTAATTATTTCTGTGTTAAAAAATATACCACAAAAATTAAAAGGCAGATTGGCAAATGCAAACAAAAAATAAATTAGAAGTAATATTTATAGTATTTCTTTTTTATGTTTGTTTGAATTACATAGTATTTTTTATTTTGATTTTTTCTTTTTAATTTTTTTATTTTTTTAATTACACTATACATTTAATATTATTTTGTATTAGTGTCATGTGTTCAGCATAGTGGTGAGACAGTCATATACTTTATATAATATTTGTAGTATTTCTAACAGAGTGGGCTGAGATCTGCAAGAACTAAGTCAGTAAAAAAAACAAAAGACAAATAATCCAATAGGAAAGTGGACAAAGAACATGAATGAGCAACTCATAAAAAACATATAAATAGGCAAAATTATTTTTAAAAGATGTTCAACTTCATAGAATATTAAAGAAAGGGAAATACTAGTAAAACTAGTTTTCACTATCAGATAAAAATAATTACAAATGACCAGTGTGTGCCAGGTTGTAACAACATAATTAGAAGAAGTCTAAATTGGTACAGTTTTTCTGGAGGGTAGTCTGGCAATATGTTTAAAATAGAAAATGGAATTTCTACTTTGATCCAGAATTTCTCTGAAGACAATAATTGGACAAGTATATTTATGTGCGTGTGCATACACAAAAATGTTTATTGCAACGTTATTTATGAAAACAAAAACTTGAGATCAACCTTCATGCCCACAAGTGGGGATTGTTTAGATCATAGTACATCTGCCCAAAGGGCTGCCATGCTTCCATTAACAAAGGAATCTACTTCATGGAAATATTCTACAACATTCTAGTAAAGTGAAAAAATTACAGAATGGAACATATCCCATTTATAATTTTTTAAAATATATTTTTATTGATTTCAGAGAGGAAGGGAGAGGGAGAGATACATATATATAGAGAGATATATATCAAACGATGAAAGAGAATCATTGATTGGCTGCCTCCCACAATCTGGGCATGTGCCCTGATTGGGAATCGAACCGTGTCCTCCTGGTTCATAGGTCGATGCTCAGTCACTGAGCCACTCCAGCTGGGCCCCATTTATAATTTTTAATAAATATTTATATGCACATTAAAATCCGGAAACATATATACCAAATTATTGTTTCTTATTGCTGGAAAACAGGATTATATAAAACATTAAATATTTTTGTGGTTGAATGTTTTCTAATAAAAATGTTTTTTGTAGTAAATAAAAACAATAAATAAAAATATTTCCAGTTTGGAGAAAAGCAAATAACATCTTCTACAAATGGCCCATGTTCTTCTGGAGCATTCCAGAATGCTGGAGAATGGTGCCTTCTCACCTCCTAAATTAGTTAAACTTCTGTGCTTATGTTTTTACTTCTGTTTCTGTTTTTTAAGGAATAGAACAGTATTTGTTTGTAACCTTTAGTAGAGTTTTTTTCCTGGATCTGGAATGGCTTGCATGCTTTTGTTTTGAAGCTAGAGTGAAGAGAATGCTTTGGGAAAGTCTACAACAAATAGACCAAGTAAAAACAACAACAAAAGCCCATAATACCATTGAGGAAATCTGCTGAAAACACAAAATTAAACATGAAACAACAGTTAAAGGTTATAGCCATGAAAATAATTATGTTGAAACACTTGAGGAAGTTGTATTGATTAACCAACAAGAATGATGCTGAGTATGCATTGTGAATTAACTGGGAATTAATTTTTAATCTGTGTTCTATGACCAGGTGGAATAGACACTACGTGAAAAAGGTTGTTTAAACTCACCAAATAATTTTTAAAATTTTTAAATTAGTGAGAGCAGTTTTTCCCTTTAAGATTATTGAAAACCATTTATTTTAACTAACACAGCACCTAGATTTTTATATTTATATTTTTGCCACAGGATTCCTATTACTGGAGAAAACCCTAAACATCGATCATGGCATACTTTAACACCAATAGCTGATGATAAGCTTTTCTTATTTGGTGGACTAAGTGCAGACAACATTCCATTAAGTAAGTGAATTCATGTTTAGCCTACAGTTATTATCTTCTTTTTTCTAAGTTGTATTTTATACTTAAGGTATATTCCTTTTTTTCTGATTTTATGCTTTACCTTTATTTTATCCCCAACTATATGCTTGCACTGAGAATTAGAACTGGAAGACCCCTTTGCTTCTGTAGCCTTGGCTCTCGATGTTCTCCTGTTTCCTAGGTGTAGAGAAAAGGAAGGGTGGTTGAACCTAGGTGAATTAAAGCCCCTTTCAACTATAGTAGCCTACGATTCTATCTCCTCCTGATTTTTCATCCAGATGCTTATACTGTAGGCTGGAATGGAAATTAGAAGAGCAGCCTTTTCCAGAATGCTCTGGAAATATAAGGTGGGGAGGCCTGTTGCTTCTTTCTTTGTTCCCAAACTATAAAGGAAAGTGATTAGCTAAAATTTTTAAAACTCCTGTCACTGCTGATCCCAAAGGTTTTGAAATGCAGTTTTTCTTTCAGCAGTAAAATCACGCCATCAGGATAGACCAAGAATATCCATTTCTTAGTTTGACATGCTAAATGTTGTGTACTAGTATTTTCTTAACTCAAAAGTTTTCTATGGCTACAGATGTTTTCGTTAAGATAACTTATATACAATGAAAACAATTTCTATAATCTTATATAGGATTTGGAAAAAACTATATTTTTTTCAACAAAAATTTATTGAGCATCAACTGTGTATATTGCAGTCTGCTGGCCAACAAACTCCAGAGGTTGATTTGAAACAGCAGTTTCTAGTAGGGGGTGTTAACTGTTGCAGAATATTATGCTTCTTCAGTTTTTGGACATTTTAATTAAAAGAGATTTGGAATCTGCCCTACCCAGGTTGGCTTAGTGGATAGAGCATTGGCCCACGGACTGAAGGGTCCCAGATTCGATTCTGATTAAGGGCGTGTATCTTGGTTGCAGGCCCTGGTCAGGGCACTTGTGGGAGGCAACCAACCAATCTATGTGTCTCTCTCACATCAGTGTTTTCTCTCTCTATCTCTCCCTCTCCCTTCCACTCTCTCTAAAAAAATCAATGAAAAAATATCCTTGGGTGAGGAGTAACAAAAAAAAAAAAAAAAGATTTGGAATCTAATAAAAAAGCTAACATTTACCCATTTCACTAGAGGTTGTTTAATATCATATCTTTATGAGCCGTTAGTGTTTTTATTTTCTTTTTAAAAAATATGTTTTTATTGATTTTAGAGAGAGAGGAAGGGAGAAGATAGATAGAAACATCAATGAAAGAGAAACATCGATTGGCTGCCTCCTGCATGCCCCTCATTGGGGATAGAGCTGCAACCCAGGCATGTGCCCGACTGAGAATTGAACCGGTAAACTCTTGGTTCGTGGGTCGACGCTTAACCATTGAGCCATACTTGCTGGGCAGCATTATTGTGTCTAACTCCTATTTGCTGGTTTTGGTCTTTGGCCTATGGGGAATTAAGTGTCCTAATTCTTTAAAAAGTGTTTTTTTTTATTTTAAATTAACTTATTTTGCAATTATAGTTGATATACACTATTATATTAGTTTCACGTGTAGAAAAAGTGATCACCCTGATAAGTATAGTACCCATCTGTAAATGCCCTAACTCTTAGTCCAGTCAATTTCCTCCTTTATAGATTCAGCTTAAGATGTGGTCATATGTGTCTTACATAATACTAAGAAATAATTTTTAGTTTTGTTGACTGTGATAATGGCATTGTAGTTATGTGACAAAGCTGTTGTAGGTATGTAAAAAAAATCAATTTTTTTAAAGTAATGCTTATTGAAGTATGTATGGGGAAAATGATCAGAGATTTAGAATTTGCTTTAGAATAACTGAATAACAACAATAATAAAAAGAAATAAGTGGAGCACATATGACAAAATCTGGATAGTTGTTGAGTCTGGGATATGTGTGGGTCTATTGTTATGTTTACTCTACTTTTGTATATCTCTGAAAATTTTTATGAGAAAATATGCATACACATCAGATAGCTGCATAAATGTAGCATGATAAATTTGGATAAAAATTAAAATTTTATTCCAAAGACCTAGTCTTAATTTTTGAACTGTCACAATATTGCAGGTGATGGTTGGATTCATAATGTCATAACAAATTGTTGGAAACAACTGACATATTTACCTAAAACAAGACCTAGGTAAGTTTAGAAGTTGATAAATAGTAAAATAGTTAAGAATTTTTAAAGTATTAAAATATAGCACTGAATTTATAGTGTTTGCCATTAAAACCATAAATCACCAGGAAGGATGTCTTTCAAATAAGCTTGATATTACCTAAATAATTTAATTATCATTTAAATGATATCTGATTGTTAGAAATAATCTATTCAGTTTCTACCCATATTTGCATATTTGAAACTATTATTCTTTTAGGTAAATGCATAATCTTGCCTGATAAATATGAAAAGGCTTATGAAATTGAAAGTATATAATGTTACTATTTTTAATTGACGCTCTATCCACTGAGCCAAACCAGTTTTGGCGGCTATTTTTAATAAGTAGACAAGAATGGGGTTGGCTTTAGCAATAGTTATTTGTTTATGGAAGAGGTTGAGAGCAATTTAATGGGGAATTTGCTTTTATGTTGATCAAGTAGATGGCAGGTTATTATTTTTCTATATTAAACTATCTTAATAATGTTTATTAATGTGAATTTTTTAAAAAACATGTTAGTTATTTGTGCTATATTATAGAGTATAATTTTCTACAAAAAATTGTAGAAACAATATACTATTATTAAACTACAAAGAAAACCACATTAATACTGTAATGCTTTTTTATTTTTATTTTATTTTATTTTTTTAAAGTATATTTTATTGATTTTTCACAGAGAGGAAGGGAGAGGGATAGAGAGAAACATCGATCAGCTGCCTCCTGCACGACTCCTACTGGGGATGTGCCCGCAACCAAGGTACATGCCCTTGACCGGAATCGAACCTGGGACCCTTCAGTCCACAGGCTGATGCTCTATCCACTGAGCCAAACTGGTCACGGCTACTGTAATGCTTTTTAAAAAAATATGTTTTTATTAATATTTAGAGAGAGAGAGGAGGGGAGAGGGATAGAGAGATAAAAACATCAATCAGCTGCCTCTTGCAACCCGGGCATGTGCCCTGACCAGGAATCAAATGGGTGACCTCTTGGTTCATGGGCCAATGCTCAGCCACTGAGCCACACTGGCCAGACTCTACTGTCATTCTTATTTTTTTCTAATTTGATTGATGGTATAATAAAGATATATTCATAGGAAATTCAAGTTTAGCACATTATAATTATTATAGTTAGTAATAGATTTTATTCTTTTTCATGCCATGTATTTCAGTTTTTTTACTATAGATTATTTATACTAATGTGAAGTCAACTTAATGACATGCATTTCAGTAATTTAATATATAACAAGTAACTTGAGAAAAAGACCTGAAAATATTTAATATATCTCATTTTATATCTCTATATTAATATGCATAATATATTTAGAGTTTATCATAATTATATATATATGATTCTTATATTTTTATATATAAAAATTCATTGGAATATATTACTTTAGCAATTCTGGATCTTTTGTAATGTGTATTTTAATTTAAAGAGTTTTATATTAAGATATAGGAGCTCAGAATTCTAGTCCTTGCTCAGCTACTAGTTAGCATTTTGGCTTTGGGAAAGTCACTTACGAAACTGAGCATCATTTTCTTCATCTGTGAAATGAGGGACTTGAACTAGATAAGCTCTTTGTTCTCTTCCATTTGCTTGATTATATGAATGCATTAATTATAGACTAAAGTGGTAGTAAGAATGTTTAATTTTTAAATTGCTATTTTATATTTAAATCCTTAATGATTAAAGTAATACAACTATGAACAATAATATACTAGTTAGAACTGAGCTATGTAAAGAGATTTTTTTTAATTCAGCTTATGTGTCATGTAAATAATATGCTTTATTAGCATGTTTAGGTGATAAGTTTAGAGCAGCTGTGAGAGGACAGAAACTGTCAGTCTGTAGAAAAACATCAGGTTGCAAGCTAGATGTCACCAAAATCCAGGCAGGAAAGGCTTTCCAGTGTTCTCCGATGCTGCAGTCCAGGCCAGAGTTTCCATAAGGCAGATAAGACAGAGGCAGAGCTATCTTCAGGTATGAGGTGAGGAGGAGAACAGGTGGGATACAGTTTAGTGTAAGGAGAACATATATGTGTGTATATACTAATTTTTTTTATAAAAGTGAGAATGACTTAACATCTATGTGCATTTTGTGCAAACTTTTCCAAGCTATAATTTGAAATGTAAGCTGCCCAATTCTCCTCTTGTAATTCTACAGCAGGTTTCTCAACTTCAGCACTATTGACATTTTGGACCAAATTATTTATTTTGAGAGGCGTTCTATGCATTGGAGGATGTTTAACAGCATCGCTGGCCTCTACCCACAAGATGCCAGTGGTACTGCCCCCCACCCAACCTGGAGTTATGATGACCAAAAATATCTCCATATATTGTCAAATGTCCCTATGGGGACAGAATTGCCACTGGTTGAGACCCTACAGTGTTGCACTCTCTTCTACAGGTCTCACCTTAGACAAAACGACGCTTGGTTGAGAAGCCACCTATCTAGCCATATCTGATCCTCTGTGTAGATAGCTGTCAGCAAAGAACTTTCTTAAATGTCTAAAAGATGTCTAACCAGGCGTTGGTCTTCAGAGCCTTAGGTACTATTGTATCCCATGAGCATTGCCAAGGTTATGTGACCTTCTCTCCAGTAAGTTAAGCTATTCTTTCCCACATATGAGGACTTCATCATATTCTATCTCCTTTACTCAATCTCTCTTCCCGTCCCCTTTTCTGACCTCACAACATAATCTGGGTGTTACGGATGATTAATATCAAAGCATGGTCTAACATACAAGTTGGAGAATTGGGCAGAGTATTTCCCAAACAAAGTCTCTACTGACTCAGTTCTATCCTGGGTCCCCAGTGCTTTTGTCATTGCTTGTGTCATGATTGTTTGAGGAAAGGAATTGATTTAACAAATTGTGCATAATCCCACTGTTTGCACTTGTGGAAGTTAAGTAAAAGGATTAATGTGCTAAAAATAAGTTATGTGATAATAAAATAAGTAATTAATGTAATTGTTTGTAGAATCTGTTGCGTCAGCAATTTGGTGTGTTAAGAGAAGTAATCAAAGTACTCTCAAAATCAAATCAATGACTTTATAAACCCTCAATTTATCTTTTAAAATTGAGAAATTTATGAGAGTTTGAGCCCCGAGAAATATTGAACTTTTTAAAACCATAAAACTATTCTTGGTAAATAATGTGAAACTGGAGATGGATATGAGCTATCACACCATTTTAAAAAACACATTAGATGCTCCACTCCTTGATGAATGATTTGTTTAATTACTGAATAAATTATGCTGGCATTTTGTGTTTGCTTTTGTTAATCAAAAGTTTTTGGTCTACTACTGGATGCAGAACACCATAGTGGGCATTTTGAAAGAGAAGCATAAAATTCAGTTACCCAAATTCCAGTGATGTGCTGGTAAACAGTTTACACTGCTTCCCATAAAAACAAACCAAAAAAAAAGCCCTAATTTGTAGCATTTGCTGATTTCCACCATGGCCATTTCACGCTACCAGCATGTCACTGAGCATGAAGTTGGATAGCGATGTGCCCAGCTGGCTTTAACGAGCCGACAAACCAGCTCCAGCACACTATGGTAGCAACTTCTGGCCTTAAGGATCTTATAGTTTTTGTGGGGAGGTAAAGACACATACATCAAACAAAGCAGTATATAGAGGAGTTTATCTTCAAATGTAAGATAGATTATAAAATGAGCACAAAATGTTGACAGATGCGGAATAGAGAGGATGACAGAGCCAGTTTGGGTTGCATTTGGGAATTTTGAGTCTTTTTTTTAAGGCCCTGAGAGAATGACTTCTCATTCTAGACTAGGAAATCGGGTGAACAAAAGCCTAGAGACATCTAAGCTTCACTCTTAGGGACGCAAGTAGATGAAGTTGGCTGAAGAGGAGGTTCATTTGGGGAGAGGCAAGAGTTTTATAGGAAAAAGAAATAGCTGTTGGTCATAAATATTAGGAGAAGAAAAATGGCACAGGTGCTTCTTGATCTGGAAATGTCATGCTTAAAAATATTATATAGCAGCTATATAGTGAGAAAGATTGGAGGCAGAAAAAGGAGGAACATGTATGGTATTCTGTACCCAGAGTGATAGTGTGACAATGTAAATGAAAAGAAAATGCCAAATTGGATTTGTCAGGTGATGGGGGAAAAGAGAGCAGGAAAGAAAGAGTCAAAAATGATGAGGGCAGTAAGATGGCAGATAATAAGAAGAAGAATGGGAAAGGCGGCTATTTCTGTTGGTCAGTTCATTTTTATTTTTATTTTTTAAAATACATTTTTATTGATTTCAGAGGGGAAGGGAGAGGGAGAGAGAGATTGAAACATCAATGATGAGAGAGAATCATCAATTGGCTGCCTCCTGCATGCCCCCTTCTGGGAATTGAGTCTGCAACCCAGGCATATGCCCTGCCTGGGAATCGAACTGGTGACCTCTTGATTTCTGGATCAATGCTCAGCCACTGAGCCACACCCAGCTATATTTTTTAAATTATTTCATTTTGTGACTAAAATATTTCAATACCTATGTGATAAAGAGATTAGAAAAAGATTGGGGGATATAATGGGAAAGAGTTATTGGGAGTCATCTGTTTAATTGAAATGATATGATTTAATGAACTCTAGAATCGAATCCTCTGATGATTCTAGAGCAGTGGTCGGCAAACCGTGGCTCGCTAGCCACATGCGGTTCTTTGGCCCCTTGAGTGTGGCTCTTCCACAAAATACCACGTGTGGGCGCGCACGTACAGTGCGATTGAAACTTCGTGGCCCATGCGCAGAAGTCGGTTTTCGGAAAGGAGATAGACGAAACAAGTATACAAGACGAGTGTGGATGGGAGAGTTGGAAGGGGTCGACCTCAGCGAACGTACCTCAATCAGATTGAGGACGTTTTTAGCAAAGGCCAGCTTAGGAGTACCCTAATTAAGTTAATAACAATGTACCTACCTATATAGTTTAAGTTTAAAAAATTTGGCTCTCAAAAGAAATTTCAATCGTTGTACTGTTGATATTTGGCTCTGTTGACTAATGAGTTTGCCGACCACTGTTCTAGAGGAATGTTTAAAATCTATCCTTTTTTGAAAGAGATTACATTTTAGAGTGTGCAATTGATTAATATGTGATATACAGCTTCTTCCTTGGTAGTATTTCACTCTGTTTATACTTCTCAATCATAGGTTATGGCACACAGCCTGTTTGGGAAAAGAAAATGAAATAATGGTATTTGGTGGGAGCAAAGATGATTTACTTTCCTTGGATACAGTAAGAAAATTTCCTATCTAAATATTTCCTCTGAGTAATTGTGTTATTCATCCTAAATGGTTATTCAATTATGCCCATTTCTCACATTGCAAAATATGGAAGGCATGAAATGTTCCTCTGTGGTATGACTAATCTTCAGAATAAGTGGCTGTGGAGAAGCATTTAGGACAGTGATGGCGAACCTATGAACTCATTTTTTTTGGTTGATTTTTCTTTGTTAAATGGCATTTAAATATATAAAATAAATATCAAAAATATAAGTCTTTGTTTTACTATGGTTGCAAATCAAAAAATTTCTTTATGTGACACAGCACCAGAGTTAAGTTAGGGTTTTTAAAAATGCTGACACGCCAAGCTCAAAAGGTTCGCCATCACTGATTTAGGATATTGTTGGTTTACAAATCAAAATAGGGCTATTAACTTCATTAGTCAAATTATTAAGAAGAGCTTTTATAATTTTATGGAATTAAAATACTTGTAATATTTGATACATATGAATATATAATGTATATTAGTACTTAGTGTAGTAAGTACTCATGAAATTTTCTACCTAGCACAGTGGTTCTCAACTTGTGGGTCGCGACCCCTTTGGGGGTCGAACGACCCTTTCACAGGGGTCGCCTAAGACCATCGGAAAACACATATATAATTACATAATGTTTTTGTGATTAATCACTATGCTTTAATTATGTTCAATTTGTAACAATGAAAATACATCCTGCATATCAGATATTTACATTACGATTCATAACAGTAGCAAAATTACAGTTATGAAGTAGCAACAAAAATAATTTTATGGTTGGGGGTCACCACAACATGAGGAACTGTATTAAAGGGTCGCGGCATTAGGAAAGTTGAGAACCACTGACCTAGCAATAACTAGAATATCATCATGTTAGCTTTTTCCCTCAAGAGGAAACTACTTTGAAATGTTTAAAGTATATTTTATGCATATTTTGCCACTACTTTTACATTTCTACATGTAAATGTTTTACATTTGCATTTAAAGCATTCCAGTTTTAAAAGCTGATAAAACTAAGGTCAAAGGAATAAATGAGTAGCATTTGGAGAGTACTGTTCACTCCTATCACCTTGGGAAATTCAGAGCAGAGTGGCCACCTTCCTCTATGTGTGGTGGGACAGGAGTCAGGACTGGTTGCCCTGGTTTGCATAGCAGGACTGAGCCTTCAGGGATGGGCTGGGTCAGGAGCCAGGGCCCAACCAAAGGGGCGCCAGCTCCCTCTCATCTCTTCAGGCGTAGTTATCTCCAGAGTTGTTCCTACTGAGTACCTGGCGAACCCTGGAATAAGGTGGGTTATCTCCAGGGAACTTGGTTTTTTTCATAGTTATGAGGCCTCCTAACTCATATATTGAAAGTTTCAGAACTTTCTTTGAGAATTCAGTGCTTCAATAAAAAGTTATAACCACAACTTTGCATTTAATTAAAAATCATATTTAGTAGTTTGTCATCTTTTTATTAGCACTAGAAGTCTTAAGATACAAATTTTATCATTAAAATAGGAATTCTCATTAAAATCATGGTCATAAATTATGAAATTCTAAAGACCTAGTTGAAAGGATTAGAAAAATTTTCTGCTGACTCATCCACATTAATTTTTAGATGAGAGAGTCATATTCAGAAAATCTTCTGGATCTGTGATTTCCAAATGAAGAATTCCCAGGACTCCTGGGACCACCTGGGAGGGAGTTGGGGTAAAGAGAAGATTTAAAAATAAGTCCTTTGAAAGAAAAAAGTTCTGCTTAAAAAACAAAAAAGCTTGAAAACCAGTACTATTCTCATTTTGAACTCACTGTTCTAGGAGAAAAACATGTATCTGATTTTTAAAATTGCAATTATATAGACTGTGGTTAGGTAAAAACAGGGTCACTGAAAAATGGTAACCACATATCTAACATTTGTATGGACACAGATATGTATATGTCTGTGTATGTTTGTGCGTGCATGTGTACATGTGTGTTCATAGCTGGAGAGAGATTTATTTGCTGCTTTATATAATTTCTTTTACAAAATAAAATATTTAATTTTTAATGCAGTTATTTTTATCAAAAACCTTGATAACTTCTTTTTATGTTGATTAGGGTCACTGTAATGATTTGTTGATCTTTCAAACACAGCCTTATTCACTACTCAGGTAAGCAATTTTATTTTTCATATATATGCTATTAATATATGATAATTTCTTCCTCATTTTGGAAAAGCTTTGTAATATTTTTCCCCCTAACAATCATCCAAGGATATGCTATTTTTGATTTTTAGAGAGAGAGGAAGGGAGGGAGGGAGAAAGAGAGAGAGAAAGAGAGAGAAACATCTGCGTGAGAGAGAAATATCAATTCGTTGCTTCCCATACGCACCCCGACCTGGGATCAAACCGCAACCTTTGGTATATGGGACGATGCTCCAACCAACTGAGCCAACTGGCCAGAGCAGCTTTGTAATATTTTTCAGGTAGCTTATGACTTGAATTTAAGAAAATGTTTAAATTGCTCTAACAATAGCCATGGCCGGTTTGGCTCAGTGGTTAGAGTGTCAGCCTGCAGACTGAAGGGTCTCAGGTTTGAGTCCCAGTCAAGGGCACCCTACCTAGGTTGCAGGTTCCCCAGTCCTGGTGGGGGCTCATGCGGGAGGGTGCGAGAGGCAACCAATCGATGTGTCTCTCTCACCTCGATGTTTCTCTTTCTCCTCCTCATCCTCTTCCTCGTCCTCCTCCTCAACCTCCTCCTCGTCCTCCTCCTCCCCCTTCCACTTTCTCTAGAAATCAATGAAAAAAAAATATCCCGGGTGAGGATTAAAAGAAAAATTTGTCCTAAGAGTATAATCAAATTTGTAATGATGAACCAACCATACACCAATGTTATTTTTAAAACTTAAAATACACAGTATAGTCATATTTTTGCTTAGCTTGTAAAATTGCATTTAGTTCATATGGGAATATTAAACATACTGTATTTCCTTGATTCTAAGCCTGATTTAACTTCTCTGAACTCAGAGTGTAAACACACATAGATGCATTTAATTTAGTAGAATGTTTTTTATAATCCCAAAGCTGTTATTAAATTGGTGCTATGACTTATAGTGTCTTAGCTCATATACTTCTGCTTTAAAAGGAGTAAATACAAAGTTTAGTGGGAGGATTGTGGAAGAAGACCCTATTTCTGCCTGAGAGAGTTGGGAGGAAGGATTTGAGTGAAGTAGAAGTTGCCCAGTGAAGAACTGTAGGTTTTTATGCAGTAGGAATAACATGGGTGAAGGCATGAGAGAGAGAGAGAGAGAGAGAAGGAAGACATGCTGTATGTCAAGGACTATACTATCACTTCCAGACGTTCTACAGCTTGAACCACTTGAACACCAATGGACTAGCTTAAACCGGACCTTCCTACAGTCTTTCGTAGCTGCTCGTTTCGTTAGTGCAGTGTTTCTCGCACTTGCTGCACATTACACTCTCATGTGGAACTTTAAAACTTATTGATGCCTGTGTTCCACTCCCACAGATTGTGGTTTCACTGGGTTGGGGTGTAGCGTGGACTTCAGAATATTTGAAAGATCCCAAGGTAATGCTATTGTTCAGGCAGTTTTGAAGTAGATACTGTTATGATTTTATACTGCAGAGTATTGTTACTTAACTTTTACCATGAACATAACTGCTTTCCCTAAGTAGATTGCAAGTTCCTTATATCCAGGGATCAAGAAGTACAATATTCAAGTGCCTACCATAAGACGACATGGTGCTATGAAACGAAGTCACGACCTTCCCCGTAAATTGCTGATAATATAGAAGGCAGGCATTCAAACAACTATAGTAGAAAAAGGGGAAGGGGGGACCCAAAAAAATGCATTTTTAAAGATTGAAGGGAAGCCATACAATTTTTATTTTCCCCCATCCATTTTATTTATTTTGTACATATTTGTAAGAGGAATGGAAGATAGGAAGAAGTGGTGATAAGTAGTTATAGAAGATGTAACAACAAGGAGTTATATATTTAAGTTTGGCTGTAAATTTTCTGTAGTACTGAAAGTTACTATTTGTCCCAGATTTTTCAGGGAAGTTATTGTCTCAAATATCTTATTACATTGAAGTTTATTTTTCCTGTTTAAGCCTGAAAAATATGATCACTGTAAGCATATTCCTATTTACTAAATAACTAGTAGCCGGGTGCACAAAATTTGTGCACTCGAGGGGGGGGTCCCTCAGTTATTAAACATTTTACAGCACAACACTGACCACATTGGTGGAGGTGGTGGTCTTGTCAGAATGTGTTATATTATGCAGATGAAAATCTATTTAAACAGATTTGATGTAGATATTTTCAAAGATGGAAGAATTGTCCCTGTCAACTATTTTAGTTGATTCATATCTTCAGTAATTGTCATCATTGCAAAGTTTTCAGTCCCCATATGGATTGCTGGATATAATAGGTCATGCG